GCAGCCAGCCCTCCCACCCCCCCGCTCCCGCCACCTACCCCCCACAGTAGCAGCCGCGGGAGGGGAGAGGCAGGGCAGAGGGTGGTGCTCTGCTGGCGGGGTTCTCTGCTGGCGGGGTTCTCTGCTGGCGGGGTTCTCTGCTGGTGGGGTTCTCTGCTGGCGGGGTTCTCTGCTGGCGGGGTTCTCTGCTGGTGGGGTTCTCTGCTGGCGGGGTTCTCTGCTGGCGGGGTCTCGTGCTGGCGGCTGGCCCTGGAGCTGGTGCTGGTGCTGGCGGCTGGCCCTGGAGCTGGTGTTGGTGCTGGCGGCTGGCCCTGGTGCTGGTGCTGGTGCTGGCGGCTGGCCCTGGAGCTGGTGCTGGTGCTGGCGGCTGGCCCTGGTGCTGGTGCTGGTGCTGGCGGCTGGCCCTGGAGCTGGTGCTGGTGCTGGCGGCTGGCCCTGGAGCTGGTGCTGGTGCTGGTGCTGGCGGCTGGCCCTGGAGCTGGTGCTGGTGCTGGCGGCTGGCCCTGGAGCTGGTGCTGGCGGCTGGCCCTGGAGCTGGTGCTGGTGCTGGCGACTGGCCCTGGTGCTGGTGCTGGTGCTGGCGGCTGGCCCTGGTGCTGGTGCTGGTGCTGGCGGCTGGCCCTGGAGCTGTTGCTGGTGTTGGCGGCTGGCCCTGGAGCTGGTGCTGGTGCTGGCGGCTGGCCCTGGTGCTGGTGCTGGTGCTGGCGGCTGGCCCTGGAGCTGGTGCTGGTGCTGGCGGCTGGCCCTGGAGCTGGTGCTGGTGCTGGCGGCTGGCCCTGGAGCTGGTGCTGGTGCTGGCGGCTGGTCCTGGAGCTGGTGCTGGTGCTGGCGGCTGGCCCTGGTGCTGGTGCTGGTGCTGGCGGCTGGCCCTGGTGCTGGTGCTGGTGCTGGCGGCTGGCCCTGGTGCCTGGTGCCTGGTGCTGATGGGGCGCGACGGGTGGGACGAGCTGGAGAAGGGCTACAGGCTGGGCGGGATCTGACGGTAGGAGGCGCGCAAGCGCTGGTGCGATCGCCGGTGCTCTGGCGGTGATCGCTGGTTTTCCGCCGCCACTCCCTTCCCCCTTTTCCTCTCTCCCCCACAGCATTCCGCCGCCACTCCCTTCCCCCTTTCCCTCTCCCCCCCACAGCGTTCCGCTGCCACTCCCTTCCCCTTTTCCCTCTCCCCCCCACAGCGACCGCCGCTGCACACGCGAACAGCCGCGACTGGGGGGGTGACGGGCATGGGGCGCGGGTAATGCGACGGGCAGAGTGGCAGCGGGCTACGGTGCTCCGGGGCGACGGGAAGCAGGGCGGGGTTCGAGTGGCGTACGGGCGACGGGTGGGGTGCGGGTGGCGTACAGGCGACGGGCAGGGTGCGGGTTGCGGCGAGCGGAATGGGGGGACGTAACGGGTGGCGCGACGCGACGGCGGGGCCCGCGCGGGTCCGGATCAACGAGAACGAGGGCCCGCGGGGGTCCTTAACTAGCGCAAGAACGGGGCCCGCAGGGGGCCCTTAACTAGCACAAGATCGGGGCCCGCGCGGGCCCTTAACTAGCGCGAGAACGGGGCCCGCGCGGGCCCTTAACTAGCGCGAGAACGGGGCCCGCGCGGGCCCTTAGCTAGCGCGAGAACGGGGCCCGCGGGGGGTCCTTAGGCTAGCGCGAGAATGGGGCCCGTGGGGAGCCGCGTTACGATACGAATGGGGCGACGGAGCACGGGGCGACGGGCTAACGGAGCGCGGGGCGGTGGGCCCATGTGAGAATCGACTGGCTCTATACCATGTTACGATGCGATCTTAACTGGTAACCGGATTTAAGGAGGGCCTAGGCTTAGTAGCCCAGGCCAAGCTATTGTCGAGGTCAAGGCCAAGGGAGTGTCGATAGAAATTGACCAAACAAGTTTTTGGCTTCACTAAAGCAAAGCATACAAGATATAGTCGAGAAACACAAGCAAGAGGTGCACCACCAACAGCAAAGAACAATAACTACAGTAACTACAGCAAGCAGGATATATCTTAAATATAACTTTGACAATATGTATACAGGGTACAAGCAAGGCATGTGCAAGATTTTAGCAAGCAAACCCTAGGCATGCAAGAGATATTATCTTGGTATTAAGCAAACAGTCTAGGTATTTGGCCGGCTAGCCTGCAACCATGCGACCCCAACTATGATCAGGCCAAGCCAACACCCTCCTGTAAGGTCTGCCCAATGGCTGGCCAGCGCAACCGAGGGGCCTACCCAGTGCCCCGAACCCCTTTACCGCGGCCTGGAGCCTCCTCTCGCTCCAGCCCCTCCTTCTCCCTCTCTCAAGCAGTCCTTCATTGATAGGTTCATAGGGGTACAGGCATGGCAGGAACAGAGCTAGACAGGCCTAGGCATTGGGGCTACTAATCATGCATGGCAGGAGCGTGAAACAAGCAGGACATCTGCACACAGACAAGCCGGTCAGGTGAGGCAGGAGGCGCCGACAAGGCAAACCAGCAAACCAGCAAAGCAAGGCACTGTAAGGCAAGGCCAAGCACGGCCAGCAGTCTAGGCAGGCTGGCCATTCAGGCCAAACATGCGGCAAATGAGCCATGGCTACATCACTGGCCTACACCTACTCCTACCTACTGAGCCATCACAACCTCCAGCTCATCCTCCAGCACTTGCCAGAGGTCCCCCAGACTAGGTTCCCAAGGGTCCCTAGCAGCCTGGGGGAACGCTGCCTCATCAGAGAGGTTTGACTTGTTCAGATAGGACGTCGCCTGGGAGCGCTGCAGCATCACAGACCAGCGCTGCCGGTAGTGTGCGGTGAGCCGTGCAGTTGTCGTTGTCAACTTCCCCTGGCGGTACTTCTTCTTGGCTGCTGAGGTGGCCAGTAACCGTAGGAACTCCTGTGTGTTCGAGGACAGAGCCCCATACGTCTCAACTGCGAGGCCAAAGAAGCCGACGTAGTCTGGCCGATCCTCATATTCCCTGTGCTTCCTAGCCGAGGCCTCCTCAGCCGCCCATCCTGGTGGTTTCCGTGCCCTGGTGTCGCGCTGCTGGAGCACAGGGTCAGTCACTGTCACGTCTGTAACCCAGGTCTCGTTTGACTCCCTGTCTCGAATCGCAAGGTCTCCCCTCTTCCTGAGGATCGGTAGGGAAAAAGCTGATGTCTCGTGGAAGCACGTGAAGTCCGCTTCCCTTGCCATCCTGAGGGCTGCAAACACTAGCGCGTTGTGCGTTCTAACGACGTCGCCCCCGTACCCGCACCTAAGGAGATGGTTCGGCAGACTCGTATCGTTGATGTCTGAATACTCTCTCTTGCAGGGACACTTCTCAGTGACCGGCAGGGACATGCCCATGCGGAACCCCAGCGCCAAGGAGAACTGACCAAGGGCAAATGTAAGGTCAGCTCTCGAAGGCACGGCATGTAGCCAGTCCCCTGCCCCCACCCCCTGCAGGCTGATGAGGCGGATGGCGTGCCCGCGGTGTGTGCCTGGGCGGTCTGTGATCGTGTCAGCCAGCAGTTCCGCTGCCCGTCTCTCGTGGATGTGGCGGGAGAGTAGTAGCTGAAGGTTGCCCTGTCCTGCCTGCTGCTCCCTGAACGACTGTAGTGCGGTTCGCGCTGTTGCCGGCAGGGCTGCCTCCAGTGGGGCTAGCTGGTTGACTCCAGGTGGGGCAGGGCTCCACGCATGGTCGAGCCGTGTGACCGCCCTCCTCAGCAGGTACGCCTCTGGCAGGTTCATCTGCCGCAGTAGGGTGTGGGCTGCCGTTACTGACGCGATGTAGGCTGCCGGTGCCTCCGAGGTAGGGTCAATGATGCCTAGCCCCCCAAGCCTGACGGGAAGGGTTCCTTGCCGCCACAGCAGGCTCTGTTCCAGCTCACTCGCTGGGACCCGTAGCTTTGCTGCTGCCAAGGCTGTCGCCATCAGAGTCTCGCTCCACGACCTCCACTCCTCCCTCTCCAGCACTGCAGCCGGGGTGGTCCGCAGCAGGTACGAAATCCAGAAAGAAATGCTCCGCAAGAGTATTAACATAGCATGTTGCGGGTGAAGCTGAGCAATCAGGGGCAGCGGTGCGGCCGCTTCTGTGAGGCTTGTCCGTGCCTGGCCTGTGCAGAAATCAGCTGTGCCGATCGGGCTTCCCAAAACTCCGATGCCGTTGGTGTTTCATGGGCAGGCCCTGTGGTGGTGGGATCTCACTCCTCCCTTCCGTATCCGGTCCCCACCCCGAGGACTTGGCGATGTTACAGCGGAGGCCAACCGATCGGAGCTCCCTTGTGATGGTGACAAAAGCCTCATAGGCCGCGTCCCGAGGGCCCACAATGGTGATGTCGTCGGCGTAGGCGACAATCGCCACCTCGGGGAGGAGCGTTGCCGTGCTCAGAAGTGTCGGTTGGATTGCCGTTGCGAAGAGGAGCGGACCGAGCGGATCACCCTGACGAACTTCTCGGTTGCTCATGATCTGATCGACACCAAGCTTGTGGTCCACTAGGAGCCGAGACGGGCCGTCATAAAGCGTGCGTACGAGGGGTAGGAGTGATAACAGGCTCGATTGCGAGAGCGCCTGAAAGAATGCCGGCCGTTCGACACTGTTGAAGGCGTTCTCAATATCGAGCTGTAGCGCTACTCGGCTCTCGTCCTCCTTAAGCAGTGATCGGACTGAGTGGACGATGCACTCTGCGCCGCCAGTGACTGCCACCCCAAACTGTACGGGGAGGAAGTACTCGCGAATGGTTTGTGCTAGTTCCCTCAAAGCCGCCTTTGCCACTACGCGAAGCATTGCTTCTCCTATTGCGATGGGCCTAACGCCTCCTCCCGGTTTTTCCAGAGCGATGAGTCTCGAGGGCAGAAGCAAATCGCGGACCGCCTGGGTCTGGAAGGTGCTAAGGAGGTAGCTGATAATTTGTGCGAGGAGTATGAGCACCTCCTCACTCGCGAGCGCAGGGTCTTTGAGGTGTTCGAAGCAGGTACCTGATGGGCCTGCTCCCACTCCGTTCGGGCATCGCTTGAGTATTTCGCGAAGGTCATCTGGTGTTACCCGCAGCTCCGAATGGGTGTAGCCGGAAACGAACATTGCCGGGGGCGATGCAGCATCGGGGTGTTTCGCCTGCAGTGCAGCGAGTGTCGCCGGTGTGGCCTCGGCAAGTGAGGTTGCGCGTAACGCTGCAACTGCCTTCGAGATGTTACCCTTCTTCATAAGTCCTTCCGCCCTAGCGCAAAGTCCAGCGTCATCGGCTTGGTGGCGTGACGGGTTCTCCGTATCGGGGATGACCTTAGCCTCCTCGAAGAGTTCCGCCCAGCTGCCTTGCTAGAACCGGTGCAGCCTTCCCTCAATTCCGATCCAACGACTTCCCTCAACTGGTTCGGGAAGGGGCCGCAAGGTCAGCTTCGGGAGGAATTGCAGGATCACCCATGCACCTGGACAGTCGGGATATTTCTGCAGGCGTAGGAGTGGTGCCAGCACGCAGAGGGTGTAGCTTTCCAAAATTTTGGGTGGCATTCTCCGAACCAAGAAAGGTTGGTCCCCCCGCTGAAGTGGGGCAACTTCCCACGTGGCCGCCTGCTGCCAGATGGCCTCGTTTGCCGCCAGCTCGGCCGGTGACTGTACGTTGGGTTGCCCGGTTTCTCTCTGGCTCCCACTCGTCACTGCTCCGGTCTCTCCCCGTTCGTGGGGGTTTCTCTCCAGGGGGTTTCTCTCCCCGGGGTTTCTGTCCTGGGTGATTCTCCCAGTCTCTCTCCGTCCCCTCTCTCTTCCTATCGTGTCTCCCTCCGCCTCCAGCGAGATCTCTTCGGAGGTTTCGGGGGTCTCGGCTACATAACCCCCCCTGTCATCCCCATTCCCAGTGTCCCCCTCCTCCTGATTCGTCGGTGGTGTCTCCTGCTCCGGGCGGTCGTGGCGTTCCCGCCACGTTCCTGATCTCACAAGCGCCTCCCTTCCGCCAACGCTTGCGCCCCCGCCCCTTCTTCCACCTCTTGCCCCGCGTCCTCCGCCTCGGGCCCCACGGATCGGCGCTCCTTCCCCGGTCCGGCTCTCGTCATTCCGCCCCCCTCGCCCGGCCTGTGGCGCTCTTCCCGCCGGGATCCATGGTGATTGTGTCTGTCTCGCCAGTCCCAACCTCGGACGGCCCCAGGTGATTCCTTGTGAGCGGGTGGAACTCCGTGTTTCCCGCTGTGGGCCTTGTGTAGTCGTTGCCTCCGGGGTGATGTGTCCTGCCACGTGCCTGACGTCAGCATCCTCGTCGCCTTCCCCTCTTTCTTGTCCCACAGATGGAGGTTGACGCTCTGGCGATAGTGGCGACTGCTCTTGCTCACTCCAGCCCCGGAGGGGACCCGGGGCGCCAGGCCCCAGCCCTGCTCCGGGCCGCCTCGGCGCTGGCTGGGCACGGAGCTTCCTCCCGCCCTTTCCGCGAGCGGCGCGCTCAGGGGCGCCGGTCCCGTGACCCCGTCTTCCGCTCGCCGCCTGGTCGCACTCCTGCGTGTCTGCGCCCTCGGCAGCAGCAGATGTTCCGGCGCTCACAGCGGCCACCGATACCTCCCCCTCGACCGGGGCGTCGGCCAGGTTCCCTACCGCGGTCGCAGCAGTCACCGCCGCAGCCAACACCGCCGCCGGTACCGGCGCTGGTGACGCAGACAACGCCACCGCCTCGGACGGTTTCCGATCCACCGCCAGACCCAGCTCCAGCGTCCGCTGTTGTGCCCCCTGGTGGTTGGCAGAAGGTGAAGTTGAGCCGCCGCCAAAAGCGACGGCAGTTCCGCCAGCCCGCCCCAATGCCGTCACAGCCTCCGCCGGCACCTCCGCGGCAGCAGCCACTTCCCCCATCACCTCCACCGACGCACTCGCCGCTGCGACGCTTCCCCTTTCCACCGCAGCCGCCGCCGCCTCGCCCCTCGGCGTCTCCTGCACCTCAGTCCTCCTCATCAGCTGCTCCGTCACCGGCGCCGTTGGAATGCCCGCAGCTGTTTCTCGGCGGGAGGCGCATCCCAATCCCGTGGGAGGTGATGGGGTATCTGAGGGCGGAGGAGGCTCCGGGTGTGCAGTCGCCCCCTCCATCAACTCTGCCATCGTCTCCTCCTCCACCTGTCGGTCCTGATCCCTCTCCCCCACTGTCTCCGGAGAGGATTTCGCCGCCGGGCTCCCCACCGCGGAGCAGGGCCCACCGCGTCGCTCAGCTCGTTGGGCACGTGGGGACATGCCTGACGTTGTTGGCAATGGTCCTCGACCAGCTGCACCTTATCCAGCTGCGGCAGATACGTCCTGGGGAGGTGCCTCCGGTATTGTCGGCAACGGAGCAGGAGGAGGGTGTGGCTGCGGCGATGCAGATGCTGGAGATGCTGCCTCTGATTGGGCTGGTCCCGGACTCCCCTGGCGCCGCCTTGGGACCTGGTCCCGCTGCGCTGAGGCGGCTTGTTCTTGCCGCTCTGAAGGCCCCACGGGACGTGGTACCACCTGCCGCATCCGTGCTACGCTGGATGGACGGCCGGTTGAGTTGGATCCTGGCCGAGTAGCGGCCCTCTTCCCTGTGCCTGCCCGCTTGGTTACAGGCCTGGCCTTGGGCTTCCCCATGGCGGTATCTCCTCGCCTGGGGGTGATGTTGTTGTTGTGTATTGTCATTGGTGCATGTTGTAGCCTTCCATAATTATAGACTTGTCCCCCCTGGTCCTTGTCACACCTCACGCGCGGCCGAAGGCCGCGCTGGCGACCGTCGGCCGCCGAAGGCGGCCGGCGCGAGCCGCCGGATTTGGAGAGTGATCCTAGCTCACCAGTGAATAATGGGCTCATTAGCCTAGATCCAGGGCCTTTATACTAAGGAAACAGGCCTAGGAATGGCTAAGGACTGGATCCTAGAGAAGAGAGGCCTAGAAATGGCTAAGGACTAACACTATGCCATCTCTCTCTCTCTCTCTCTCTCTCTCTCTCTCTCTCTCTCTCTCTCTCTCTCTCTCTCTCTCTCTCTCTCTCTCTCTCTCTCTCTCTCTCTCTCTCGAGCGAGCCGCCAGATTTGGAGAGTGATCCTAACTCACCAGTGAATAATGAGCTCACTAGCCTAGATCCAGGGCCTTTATACTAAGGAAACAGGCCTAGGAATGGCTAAGGACTGGATCCTAGAGAAGAGAGGCCTAGAAATGGCTAAGGACTAAGACTATGCCATCTCTCTCTCTCTCTCTCTCGCTCTCTCTCGAGCGAGCCGCCGGATTTGGAGAGTGATCCTAACTCACCAGTGAATAATGAGCTCACTAGCCTAGATCCAGGGCCTTTATACTAAGGAAACAGGCCTAGGAATGGCTAAGGACTGGATCCTAGAGAAGAGAGGCCTAGAAATGGCTAAGGACTAAGACTATGCCATCTCTCTCTCTCTCTCTCTCTCTCTCGCTCTCTCTCGAGCGAGCCGCCGGATTTGGAGAGTGATCCTAACTCACCAGTGAATAATGAGCTCACTAGCCTAGATCCAGGGCCTTTATACTAAGGAAACAGGCCTAGGAATGGCTAAGGACTGGATCCTAGAGAAGAGAGGCCTAGAAATGGCTAAGGACTAACACTATGCCATCTCTCTCTCTCTCTCTCTCTCTCTCTCTCTCTCTCTCTCTCTCTCTCTCTCTCTCTCTCTCTCTCTCTCTCTCTCTCTCTCGAGCGAGCCGCCGGATTTGGAGAGTGATCCTAACTCACCAGTGAATAATGAGCTCACTAGCCTAGATCCAGGGCCTTTATACTAAGGAAACAGGCCTAGGAATGGCTAAGGACTGGACCCTAGAGAAGAGAGGCCTAGAAATGGCTAAGGACTAAGACTATGCCATCTCTCTCTCTCTCTCTCTCTCGAGCGAGCCGCCAGATTTGGAGAGTGATCCTAACTCACCAGTGAATAATGAGCTCACTAGCCTAGATCCAGGGCCTTTATACTAAGGAAACAGGCCTAGGAATGGCTAAGGACTGGATCCTAGAGAAGAGAGGCCTAGAAATGGCTAAGGACTAAGACTATGCCATCTCTCTCTCTCTCTCTCTCGCTCTCTCTCGAGCGAGCCGCCGGATTTGGAGAGTGATCCTAACTCACCAGTGAATAATGAGCTCACTAGCCTAGATCCAGGGCCTTTATACTAAGGAAACAGGCCTAGGAATGGCTAAGGACTGGATCCTAGAGAAGAGAGGCCTAGAAATGGCTAAGGACTAAGACTATGCCATCTCTCTCTCTCTCTCTCTCTCGCTCTCTCTCGAGCGAGCCGCCGGATTTGGAGAGTGATCCTAACTCACCAGTGAATAATGAGCTCACTAGCCTAGATCCAGGGCCTTTATACTAAGGAAACAGGCCTAGGAATGGCTAAGGACTGGATCCTAGAGAAGAGAGGCCTAGAAATGGCTAAGGACTAACACTATGCCATCTCTCTCTCTCTCTCTCTCTCTCTCTCTCTCTCTCTCTCTCTCTCTCTCTCTCTCTCTCTCTCTCTCTCTCTCTCTCTCTCTCTCTCGAGCGAGCCGCCGGATTTGGAGAGTGATCCTAACTCACCAGTGAATAATGAGCTCACTAGCCTAGATCCAGGGCCTTTATACTAAGGAAACAGGCCTAGGAATGGCTAAGGACTGGATCCTAGAGAAGAGAGGCCTAGAAATGGCTAAGGACTAACACTATGCCATCTCTCTCTCTCTCTCTCTCTCGAGCGAGCCGCCAGATTTGGAGAGTGATCCTAACTCACCAGTGAATAATGAGCTCACTAGCCTAGATCCAGGGCCTTTATACTAAGGAAACAGGCCTAGGAATGGCTAAGGACTGGATCCTAGAGAAGAGAGGCCTAGAAATGGCTAAGGACTAAGACTATGCCATCTCTCTCTCTCTCTCTCGCTCTCTCTCGAGCGAGCCGCCGGATTTGGAGAGTGATCCTAACTCACCAGTGAATAATGAGCTCACTAGCCTAGATCCAGGGCCTTTATACTAAGGAAACAGGCCTAGGAATGGCTAAGGACTGGATCCTAGAGAAGAGAGGCCTAGAAATGGCTAAGGACTAAGACTATGCCATCTCTCTCTCTCTCTCTCGCTCTCTCTCGAGCGAGCCGCCGGATTTGGAGAGTGATCCTAACTCACCAGTGAATAATGAGCTCACTAGCCTAGATCCAGGGCCTTTATACTAAGGAAACAGGCCTAGGAATGGCTAAGGACTGGATCCTAGAGAAGAGAGGCCTAGAAATGGCTAAGGACTAACACTATGCCATCTCTCTCTCTCTCTCTCTCTCTCTCTCTCTCTCTCTCTCTCTCTCTCTCTCTCTCTCTCTCTCTCTCTCTCTCTCTCTCTCTCTCTCTCTCTCTCTCTCTCTCGAGCGAGCCGCCAGATTTGGAGAGTGATCCTAACTCACCAGTGAATAATGAGCTCACTAGCCTAGATCCAGGGCCTTTATACTAAGGAAACAGGCCTAGGAATGGCTAAGGACTGGATCCTAGAGAAGAGAGGCCTAGAAATGGCTAAGGACTAAGACTATGCCATCTCTCTCTCTCTCTCTCGCTCTCTCTCGAGCGAGCCGCCGGGTTTTGAGAGTGATCCTAACTCACCAGTGAATAATGAGCTCACTATCCTAGATCCAGGGCCTTTATACTAAGGAAACAGGCCTAGGAATGGCTAAGGACTGGATCCTAGAGAAGAGAGGCCTAGAAATGGCTAAGGACTAAGACTATGCCATCTCTCTCTCTCTCTCTCGCTCTCTCTCGAGCGAGCCGCCGGATTTGGAGAGTGATCCTAACTCACCAGTGAATAATGAGCTCACTAGCCTAGATCCAGGGCCTCTATACTAAGGAAACAGGCCTAGGAATGGCTAAGGACTGGATCCTAGAGAAGAGAGGCCTAGAAATGGCTAAGGACTAAGACTATGCCATCTCTCTCTCTCTCTCTCGCTCTCTCTCGAGCGAGCCGCCGGATTTGGAGAGTGATCCTAACTCACCAGTGAATAATGAGCTCACTATCCTAGATCCAGGGCCTTTATACTAAGGAAACAGGCCTAGGAATGGCTAAGGACTGGATCCTAGAGAAGAGAGGCCTAGAAATGGCTAAGGACTAAGACTATGCCATCTCTCTCTCTCTCTCTCTCGCTCTCTCTCGAGCGAGCCGCCGGATTTGGAGAGTGATCCTAACTCACCAGTGAATAATGAGCTCACTAGCCTAGATCCAGGGCCTTTATACTAAGGAAACAGGCCTAGGAATGGCTAAGGACTGGATCCTAGAGAAGAGAGGCCTAGAAATGGCTAAGGACTAACACTATGCCATCTCTCTCTCTCTCTCTCTCTCTCTCTCTCTCTCTCTCTCTCTCTCTCTCTCTCTCTCTCTCTCTCTCTCTCTCTCTCTCTCGAGCCGCCAGATTTGGAGAGTGATCCTAACTCACCAGTGAATAATGAGCTCACTAGCCTAGATCCAGGGCCTTTATACTAAGGAAACAGGCCTAGCAATGGCTAAGGACTGGATCCTAGAGAAGAGAGGCCTAGAAATGGCTAAGGACTAAGACTATGCCATCTCTCTCTCTCTCTCTCTCTCGCTCTCTCTCGAGCGAGCCGCCGGATTTGGAGAGTGATCCTAACTCACCAGTGAATAATGAGCTCACTAGCCTAGATCCAGGGCCTTTATACTAAGGAAACAGGCCTAGGAATGGCTAAGGACTGGATCCTAGAGAAGAGAGGCCTAGAAATGGCTAAGGACTAAGACTATGCCATCTCTCTCTCTCTCTCTCTCGCTCTCTCTCGAGCGAGCCGCCGGATTTGGAGAGTGATCCTAACTCACCAGTGAATAATGAGCTCACTAGCCTAGATCCAGGGCCTTTATACTAAGGAAACAGGCCTAGGAATGGCTAAGGACTGGATCCTAGAGAAGAGAGGCCTAGAAATGGCTAAGGACTAAGACTATGCCATCTCTCTCTCTCTCTCTCTCGCTCTCTCTCGAGCGAGCCGCCGGATTTGGAGAGTGATCCTAACTCACCAGTGAATAATGAGCTCACTATCCTAGATCCAGGGCCTTTATACTAAGGAAACAGGCCTAGGAATGGCTAAGGACTGGATCCTAGGGAAGAGAGGCCTAGAAATGGCTAAGGACTAAGACTATGCCATCTCTCTCTCTCTCTCTCGCT